AATTTGATATATTCTCTTCTAAGATAGGATAGATTATGTCCTAGATACAGAACCACCAGATTTAGAGCCTAATGCCAATGGTCAAGCAAGAAGGTGACTTGACAAATGTTTAGAAGATGATAAAGTAGCTAAGACTACTATGTTAAGCTTTATGGAAGATGATTTAATTAGAGTATTTGAAGATCACACCACAGCTCTATCTGAAAAGTATGAGACCACTTCTGATATTCATGTGCAATTGTTGTTAGAAAAATACAATTCTTGTAGAATGAAAGAAACATATCAGTGACCGAGTATGTTAATAAAATGACAGTGCTCGCAAATGATCTTACTGTAGCAAAGAATCCAGTCCTTGATCGCATGCAAGTGTCTATTGTCCTTAACAGTCTCCCTCCATTTTGAAAGTCTGTTGTAATTGCATTGAATCATTTTGCACAAAGGATAACCATGTTAAATCTTCCTATGTATCTCAGTATTGCAGTTGAGAGAAGAACGAGAAAAGAGTCAAATGAGCTCCACTTTGCCCAAAGTTTATCTTCTCATATCCCCAAGAAATCTTTCAATAATCAGAAAAATAATAGGTATAAGAGAAATGTGAGAAATTTTAAAAATCAAAAGAATAAGGTTGATAATACCTGTTTTTATTGTAAAAAAATTGGACACATCAAGTTTAATTGTCCTAAGCTGAAAAATAAAAATAGGAAATAGAATAACAACCCTGTTTAAAATAATAAAAAAAATAAAAGAAAAAACTTGATCTGCGTAGTCCTAGAATCAATAGTTGTTGTCCATGACCTAAAAAATTGGTGGGTCGACTCAGCCTCCACTCGACATATCTCGAGGACCAAGGACAAATTCACAAAATCGAAAGAGATTGCAACCGATAACTAACATATTTATATGGAAAATGAGACTTACTGTGATGTACTAGGTGTCGGTATTTTCAAGTTGTGTTTACCAGGAGGAACAAATCTCTTATTGATTGATACATTGTATGCACCCAATATGAGGTGAAATTTGATTTTTGTCTCTAGGCTAGATGACAAGGGTTATGAAATAAAGTTTAGGTCACCATTGGGAAGCATTCTAGAGTATTGGTTTATGGTACTAAAGTTGACTATTTGTATCGATTGAATATTAATGAAAATTCACTTTTTTCTAGTTATTTTGATGCCTCTTATTTATACTTTTGCTTGTATAGATGATTCATATTTATGACACTTAAGATTATGACATATCAATAAAGATAAAATGAATCAAATGGCTAAAAGAGATTTACTCCCCAATTTAGGAGAAATTGTGTTCAAAACATGTGAGCCATGTATTTCTGGTAAATTAACTAAGAAGCCTTTTTTTAAAGGGAAAAAGTCTAGTGAACTACTTAGTATAGTTCACTCTGATATATGTGGCCCAGTAAATGTAAAAACACATAAAGATATGGAATATTTCATAACATTTATAGATGATTATTCACGTTATAGATATGTAAACCTAATTAGTAAAAAATCAAATGTTTTAGAAACTTTTAAAGGATATAAAGCTGAGATAGAAAATCAGTTAGGTAGACATTAAAATTATTCGAACAGATAGAGGAGGTGAATATTGTTCCACCTTATTTACCGAATTTTGTAAGGAGCATGATATAATTCACCAAACAACCATGTCATATACACCACAACAAAATGGTATAGCTAAAATGAGAAATAGAAGTCTAATAGACATGGTTAGGTCCATGATGAGCCATTCAAATTTATCAGCTCATTTTTTGGGTGAGGCTCTCAATACTGCAACGTATATTATTAATCGTGTCCTAATTAAATCAATAGAATTGACCCCATATGAATTATGGACAGGTAGGAAACCTAACCTAACGATCTTGAAAGTTTGAGGTTCTCCGGCACATGTGCTTATACCACAACAAAATAGAAATAAATTACAAAGAAAAACTATACAATTCTCTTTTATAGGCTATTCAAAAACTTCTAAAGGGTATAGATTCTATAACCATGATATTATATCATTAGTAGAGAGTCGTGAAGCTCATTTCTTAGAAAATATAGATGATAAAAATATTTTAAATAATCATGTTGACTTACATGAAATTGATAAAGATAAGGGTCTGGAAGACCCTGTTTCTCAGACTCCCTCATATTTGGTGAGAATGATTTAATTGAATCAAGTATACTAGACATGTCTAAAAGAACTAGAGCCCCACCTACGAGTTTAGAAGAATTTTATGTATTTATGAATACAAATAATTATTCTGCAATGAGTAAAGATACGATAGATGAACCTCGAAGCTACAATTAAGTTATTAGCTCACATGATTCAGCTGAATGGACTCAAGCTATGAATGATGAACTTGATTCTATTAAAAGAAATCAAGTCTGGGAGTTGGTTGAACTCCCTAAAGATAGAAAAGTCATCGGTTGCAAATGGGTCTTAAAGAAAAAGCTTAATGCAAATGGATCCATTGATAAATATAAAGCTAAAGGATTTACTCGAAGGGAGGGTACATATTATGTAGAGACTTATTCTGATGTAGCAAAATTTTCATCAATTAGAATCATTCTAGCATTAGTTGCATATTATGAACTAGAATTATTTCAAATGGATGTCAAAATAACTTTCTTAAATAGAGAATTAAAAGAAGATATATACATTAAAGGATATGTAATTAAAGGTCAAGAAGACAAAATATATAAACTTAAGAAATCTTTATATGGTCTAAAACAGTCTTCTAGGCAATGGTACTTTACTTTTCATAATGCAATCACTGAAATTAGTTATATGGCCAATAAGTTAGACCATTGTGTATATGTCTGTAATAGTATGAGCAATTTTGTTATATTGTCACTATATGTGGATGATAATTTGATAGCCGATAATGATATTGACATGATTAACCATATCAAATCATGACTAAGTTCCCACTTTGAGATGAAAGATATAAGAGAAGCCTCATAAGTACTGGGCATTAAGATAACAAGAGATAGGAGTTCAAGACTTCTATGTTTATCTCAAGAAAATTATTTAGAAAGTATTTCAAAGAGATTTAATATGGAAAATTGCAAGCTCATAAATACACCAGTTTGTAAAGGCTTAAAATTGTCAAAGAAAATGTGTTCATTAAATGATAGTGACAAAGCTGAAGTGGAACGTATTCCATATGCTCAAGTTGTAGGATGCATAAATTATGACATGTGTACAAGACCTGATTTGAGTCATGCATATGATCTTGTAAGTAGATTTCAAAATAATCCTACGATGGCTCATTGGCAAGCCGTAAAAAAGATACTCTGATATATTCAGAAAACTAAAAATTACAAGTTATGATTCCAAACTGACATGAGGTTACTGGGTACTCTGATGCAGATTTTGCAAGAGACCCAGATGATAGAAAATCAATATAAGGATTTTTTTTTCTCTTTGGAGGTGGATGTATTTCTTGGTCTAACAAGAAACAAGGTTGTGTAGCTCGGTATACTATGAAAGCTTAGTATATTGCTTATAGCATTTCTACAATTTATGCCGTCTGGATTAAACGTTTCGTAAAAATGATTTGAACTGGGATATAGCAGACAGACTTGATAAATTTTTTTGTGATAATCAGGCTGTTATTTCATCAATTAGAAATTGAGCTTATAGCTCCAAGGTAAACACATTGAAATTGATTATCATTACATTTATGATATTATTGAAAAGAATAAAATAACTGTAAGTTATTTCCCATCTTAGATATGATTGCTGACCCTTTAACAAAGGGATTGAGTACAAAAACATTATCAAAGCATGTAACTTTGTTGGGACTTAAAAATATTTAAGTCAGGAACTCTCAAATGGGGTATTTTTCTTTGATGTATTGGTCATGAGAGGAAAAGATGCATTAGAGTGAAAAACCCATGACATGACTTTGGATATTTTTTGTTATGAGATGTATAACGGTACTAGCGTGAAAAAGTCTCATGACAAGGATATGCTCATAAATGTTAGATCCTTAAGTTATATTATTTCAATATACCTGCCCCTCATGGCCAAGTGGGAGAATGTTGGCACGTATGGGAGGCCATGGGCCCTCAAATATTTCTCTCCTTATATTAAAGTTTACGTTTATCACTAAAATAGGGAGGCTTCTTAGAGAGACATAATGCTGTTATTTAACGGGTAGAAAATAACAACCCACATCCTAGGATTACAGGGCCACGTTTCTTATAGTTTTAAGGAGAAAGCCGAACGTTGGAGGGCGACCTCTTCCATCCTCTATAACTAGGCATTTCATGGCCATGGAGAGGCACACACAGAGAAGCTTGAGTTCTCATTGTTCTGAAAAACCCTCCACCCTACGATCCTCAGTCTCACGACACTGCCCCTAATCCTGGGAATTTAGGTATCTATCTCTTCCCTCATAATCCAACACTTGCAAGTTTCTCAAATGTAACAAAATTCAACAAAGAAATTTTTGATACTCCCCACCCTCAAAAACTAACTTTGAGGTGAGTGAAGAACCCAAAAAGAGTTTTAGATCAATCTAGGTCCAAAACAATCTACTAAAAGGAAAAGATTTAATTTTTAGCTTCTAAAATATTGAACTCTATCATCACCCATCACTTCAAAATGCAATTCTAGTAGATGTAAGTATTAAGGGATTTGGAGCTTTTATGGAGCTGCAAACCAAGTGTTATTTGCGAGGGTTTGGTGCTCCTGCGGGAGCAACAAACCTTTTCCAAAGAAAAAGTATGTCTTCAGACAATCCCATCACATGAAAGTTTCTTGTCCTTACGAGAAAAAGGACTAAATACCCATTCGAGCTGTCGTTAAGCCTATGAAAACGTTTAAAGCAGTGCTGCACTTTGCTGGAGGGAGACAAAAAGAAGGTTTCCATTAAGGAAAAGAAAGGAGGCCATGCCATGCATGCATGCATGCTGCATGTACCACCAAACATATATATAGAGAAATCATAACACTCGAATCAAGAGAGAGATATCATAACACTCGAATCAAGAAGAGAGAGAGATGATAACACTCGAATCAAGAAGAAGCCATCGACTTTTTGCTACAAAAGAAACCTTAGACATTGAGATTCTTTTAGTACTCGATAACTAGGAACAGGGTCATAGTACAACACCGTGGGCTTTTACCATGGCAGTAACACACGACCATGATACGATGACCACCAAAACGTTTGGACTTTCCAATACAATTCTTGTCAGCGTAGTTGTCGAAAAACTTGGAAATCCTCCACGTCGTGAAGGGGGGAAGAGAGAGGCATTAAAAGAAAAGAAAAGAAAAAAAAAAAATAAAGAAAACAAGAGAGAGAGTGTGATCAGAGATGGGGCTTCCCTGTCAAGGAGAGGAAATGTACAACACGGGCAATTAGGGTTAGCGGAGAAATAGATGCAGAAGAGGATTTCGTGTAACGGATTCTAAATAATTAGAATAGGACTCTAAATAATTGGGATAAAGCTCTGATGACGACCGACGACATAAAAAAATCAAAGCAACCCAGAGAATTTGGGTTATAGAGAGAATGAACTCAAAGATCATGGTGCGGCCGAGTTCCTCGTTGAAGAGAAGAAATAGAGCTGAGAGAGAGAGAGAGTTGGGGTAAAGATAGTGAGAAAAGACAAAAATTATACAAGGGAAGGGTGGACTGAGCTCCCAAAGTAGAGAGAGAAAGAGAGTGTCTCACCTGGGCACCCAAGCCATAGCAAAGACAGCATTGTGGCCCTTCCAAGTAAGCACCAAATCCCCATCCTCTCTCTTAACCCCCCAACCCGCCGCATGCTCCTCCAAAACCCCCCTCACCTCCGCCTCCGCCCCCTCTCCCAATCCCACCCCCTCGAACCCCGCCCTCCTCAACCTTCCTCCCCACCGACCTTTTCTCTCTCCTCTCTCTACCCTACCTCTCCCCTCCCCCACCACCAAATTCTCTATCCTCCCCCCCACCAACCTTTCTAGTCCCCCTCTCTCCTCGCTCCTCCTCCCCATCGCGGCCTCCCCCGCATCGAACCACATCCACCAGTAATTGAACGCCGACCTTATCCGACTCCCAAGTTGCTCTGAAACAAAATCAACGTCCTCGTCGACCACAACAAAAAGATCGGGTTCCATCTCCCTAATCTTAGACAGCAGATCGTTCCGGATCGTCGAGCCTGCGGTCTCTTCGGGAACATATCTCAGCGAGTGCTGGGAATTCACCACCAGCATTTCCCCTTGATTGCGTCCTACCGTAGAGACTCTATCGACAAGCCCCATGTTCCCGGGTTTCAGTACGCCGAACTCGAGCTTCACTCCTCTTACAAGTGCAAAGGCCATGAGTTTTTGCCCGAGCTCCTCGTAGGTGGTGTTGAGGGGTGGGCAAGCCAGCCATGTCGGGTCAGGCTCGATGACAGTCAGTCTTAGAGAGGGTGGGGATGGGCGAATGCAGGAGATGGCATCTATCAGTGTTGGGTACTGCATGCAGTGTGCGACTCCGATATCAAGTACATGAAGTGCCGGGGCCGAGAGACGTGCCATGACATCGAGGATGGTGGCATTGGCTGCAGCGAAACCGAAGCGGTGCCAAGGGGTGAGGTCGATGAAGGTCGCTAGCTGAACAGGCGAAAGAGGCCGTAAGCTCTCCAGTGCAGGAGCGGGGTTCCCCGCACGCATCACTAGCGCACGTAAGAAAGCGGCCGTGAGGCGTTGGTTGGAGTCCCCATCAGGGGAGGCGATGTTGTTAAGGACCCACAGGATTTGGTGGGCGAGGGTGGCGTCGTTGGCCTGCAGGGCCGCAGCACAGTGGGCAAGGAGCTGTTCCATGCAGTGGGCGTCGGCACCGCCCGGCCCCTTAGAGACGGGGGCACTAAGGAGGGGGCAGCCGGGAGTGGGCGGTTTTGGGGCGAGCGTAAGGGACAGCGCCGCTCCTCCGCCGGCGGCTGCATAGTGATGCATCATGGTGGAGGACACCACCTAGAGAGAGAAGATAGGGAACGATGATTGTAGAGAGAGAAAATCAGGAGTAGAAGAGTTCTGGATAGAAGAAAGAAGGAGATGGACCGACAGATAGGCGAGATAGAGAATGTAAAGTAGAGAGAGAAAGAGAGAGGGAAATTTTTAGAGAGAGAGAGAGAAGAAAGGGAGTGATAATGGGAGAGAGAGGGGGTATATATGGAGGGAGGGGAGAGAAGGGGCATGTGGATTTGTCTGGAGAGAAGAGAGAGAGAGAGAGGTGGGGTTTTGTCTTCACGGGCGGATATATGATAAGGAAATCATTGGAGGGATTGTTTGTGTGAGAGTGGGGGAATGAAATGAGGGACTTTCTCTCTCTTCCTCCGCTTGTTGGCGCCGATAGCGACTTTTCGTAGTCACTCGTTCCATGCTTCGAGGACAGGCTGACCCATTCTCTTCATCTTGTCTCCCTCCCTCTGTGCCCCAAAACATGTAATACTAAACCCCCAACTTCAACCGGCCCAAAATTTTAAAATATATATATATATTCTTTTATAAAATATGGAAAGTATATTTAAAGTATGATTAAACAATTTACCTTCAAATAAAATTAAAAATTTTTTAAAAAATTGATTTTTAAAAATAATTTTTGCAAAGGTATTTTTTAATTTTTTTAAAAATATAAAAATAAATATTCATGGCAAACGGGTATTCTAATCTTTTTGGAAATGATAAAAACATTAAAACAACGCTTTAAAAACAAAGTTTTTATTTTTTTTTGAGATTATATATAATTTTTTTGAATTTTTAAAAATATTTGGCTGGATCACTAGAACCGACCAATGCCTGATTCTTATCTTTTCATCCGGTGCGAAATCGAAGCAGTCGAGTTTGCAAACACTGGTCACTCTATTATATATATAAAAAAAAAAAAGTGATAATGACCCGAGCCCCTACTCAATTGGTCCGGCCCTAAAAAAACTAAGACTTGAGTCACTAAAATGCGGCTGAAAGTCGGGCTTGGGCCAAGCCAAGATAGATTGGCGTAACCCTTATTTTTTTCATCTTATTTTAATTTGTTGCCCTTTAATTTTACCTAGTCCACCAGCTAGGGCTGCCCTGACCATGCTGGGCCCGTTGCCAGCCCAACTATTGCAACCAGTTTCTCTCTCATCGGACGCATTCTCTCCTATCCATTCTCTCTCCTCTATTGTGAGGCTGTCATCTCTTTGTCTCGCTCTAACTTCCGTTCCGTTTTTCTCTCTCTTAATTTACTCATCTGCATGTGGGCACTCGTGCTTTCAACGTCACCCAATTCTCTACTCTCTCTCCCTAGTAACAACACCGAACGCAATTCTTTCTCTCTCTTCTTTACTCTCTCTCTCCATGCGGACGTGGCCATGTTCGCTTTTGCCGCGTCTCTCTCCATCTCTAAAGGCGGGGTCCCACCAAGCATATTAGAGAGTCCATATGGGCATCGCTCTCGTAAACTCCTTTATCGGTTGTCCACGTACGATCTCCCTCTCTCTCTCTCAAAAGAGGGACAAATGGAGCGGTTAAAAGTTGATTGGAAAATATATTTTTTTTATGTTTTTTTGAAAAAATTTTGTATAGAATTTTATTTTTTTATATTATTTTATGATAAGCCGCTCTTTTATTTTTTTTCAAGTGGTTATAAGAACATCCTTAAATATTTCAACATCTCTCATATCTTATATCTTCTTTTATTGATTTTTTGATCTTAAACTTTAGTCTCAACAAATCTTTTTATATCATTTCAACTTTTAATAGTGTAAAGCAAAAAAAGAAGGTTAAAAACGTTTTCGAAATGAAATGATATAAAAAGATTTGTTGGAGCTAATTTTTATGATAAAAAGTCAATAAAAAAAGAAGATAAGAAATGAGGGGATCCGGTGAAATCTTGAGGATTTTTTTATGTTGTTTGAAAGAAAAACGGAAAGAGGGTCTACCATGAAATAATATGAAGAATTAGCATTTTATATGAATTATTTTTTTTTTTTAAAAAATAATTTTTTTTAAATATTGATAAATTGCCTCACTTTATAAAATCTTAGACGAGGTTACTAAATGAAATCACCTGGTTTATATATACATACATTGTTTCTATGAGCCCATATAAAAATGAACGTTCTTTTAACAATCTTTTTGTGAGAGAGATATTTTGACCCAATTTTTTAAGAACATATGATCTCTAACATAGAGATCATGAATATTAATAAATAAATAAATTTAAAAATAATAATTAAAAAAAAAATGAATTATATTAGTTTCAACTGCTTTTAGATGGACCTGCCCATCCGCATCCATCTTTAAAATGGATGGGGATGCAAATGTAAAAATATGTTATTCCTTTTTATAAAATAATTTTCATATATATATATATATATATATATATATATATAACACGTGTGCTACCAAAATGTTTCAAACTAAAACGCCAATTTGTTAGTAAATGAAAGCGATTCGAGTGCTAAATAACGACAACTACAAACACAAGTAGAAGCTTTATTAGGATCCCCCTTCATCTCTCTCTTCATTGTTATTAGGATCCAACCTTTTCCACAGCTGAAAACGCTTTTTTGTCCCTGCTCAAGTCAAAAAAAAACACCCCAAAAGTAGAAGCAAAAGTTTTGACATGTAGCTTTCTAGGCAGCCTTCACTCAAGAGAGCTATTTTTCCTCTCTAAAAAATATATATATATTTTTTGTCACTCTCGCTAAATATGTCACACGTAGTGATCAGGCCATGGTGGGACCCACTTAAACCAAAGGTCTAGATTTGAGGGGGAGCCAGCTTCAAGGAAATCTGATCCGTTCATCAAGGAATCATCTCCTACTTGATAGTATAATATTAGGGCAAGTGATTTATTAGGTTTTGATTGAAAGAAGAGAAGGGTTCGACAAAAGAATCTCATTGAAGCATATAAGGAGAAGTATGTAAGTTAAATACGAAAAATAATATATTTGTCATTCACATTCCGAGGATGATTCCTAAGCTTGTAATACAAGGATTTGAAGACAAAATAAGCAAGGCTACACCCTCAGCATGTCTGTATTTTCTTGGTCTAGGGGAATTCTTAGGCTTTTCATGATCTTTGTTTTTGTGTATTCAAAGCAACATGAGGACAAAAGGGTTTTAAATAAAGTATGGAATGCATCCATGTGCTCCACATAGCACACCAGGATTTTATTCCCTTGTGCTAATGTTAATGCAACAATGGGGGAGCATATACCACTATCACTAAAGCAATAGGCTTCATACTCTCTCTCTCTCTCTCTCTCTCTCTCTCTCTCTCTCTCTCTCTCTCTCTACTACTACTACTACTACTACTACTACGTACTACGTACTACGTACGTACGTACGTACGTACGTACGTACGTACGTACGTACGTACGTACGTACGTACGT